GTTTTGGTCATTGTCCAAAATTATTCCTTCTTTTGTTGATTTTCATCTCTTTGGCTCATATTCCAACACTCCTGCAAGAAAGCACATTTAATTAGTTTTCGGAAATACCCTTAAGCAATTTTTAGCTAAAACGAAAGTAACAAAGTGCAAATAAGCAGTCAAAATCCCTACTTATCTCCTTATCGTTGAACAAAATGGTTCCCTCTAGGATATAATCTCGGGTTTGTTACTCCCTTGTGGTGGACACCTTAGTGCGCTTTAGCATTGGCCCTTGGGGGATATCGACGCCTCCAATGATCATGTTGATGACATGCTGAGGTTCTTCTTGTTCAGTCTATTTACTGGAGTCCCTGTTCCTGAAGTGATTTTTGGCTTGGTCACTCAGAAATTCTAGAATATGCCTGTTATTGAATAATCGGGCCATTTCTTCTCTTAACTATCGACGATCCTCGGTTCTATGGCCGTGAGTGCCATGATACTTACATATCAAGTTAGGGTCTCTCTGGGTAGGGTCGAATTGTGATGGCCGAGGATATTTGGTATGTTTGATGCGCCCGATGGCAGATACGATGCTAGCAGCATCGACATTAAAGTTATATTCTGATAACCTCGATGCCTCCATGGCCCCGACTAGCTTGTCGAAACTTTTTTGCTCATGAGTCCCCGACTACTGTGGCTTTGATCGTTCCTATTTTTGTTTCTTGTAGGGTTACGCCTAGATCCATTACCCCTTCAATGTCCACTATACGGTTGATACCGGTCTCTGTTCGGTCTTGGTTCATGATCGACGAATCTTTTAGACCTGTCATTGGTTTTGATAGGATAAACGAACCCGGAGGGGTCCCCGAACTGATTATCCTCGACTCTAATTTTAACTGATACCTATTATGGATATCGGCCCAAGTTACCGCTAGGTACTCTATCAATTGTTTTTCAACTCTTGCGAAGTTAAGGAGCTTCGGGGGTTGAGTTCTTGAGTAAACGCCTGAATGGCCCAATCGTCTACAACCGGACGCATGTCCATCTGCTCCATTTGAAACCTCGATAAGAATTCCCTGAGCATTTCGTTGTCTCTTTGGTTTACTTTGAAAAGGTCTGATTTTCTATTCTCGGCCTTGATGGCCCCGGCGTGTGCTTTTATAAAGGCATCTGCAAGTATAGCAAACAAATCAATCGAATTTTGGGGTAAGTTGTGATACCATATCATTGCTCCCTTTGACAGGGTTTCTCCAAACTTTTTTAACAGAATCAACTCGATCTCGTCATCTTCCAAATCGTTTCCCTTGATGGCAAACGTGTAAGAAGTTATGTGCCCATTTGGATCTATGGTCCCGTTATACTTTAGAATATCGGGTATACGGAACTTCTTCAGGATTGGCTTCGGTGCCGCGCTCAGAGGGAAAGGCTCTTAGACAAACTTCTTAGAGTCCAGGCCTTTAAAATCGGGGACGCTCCTGGAATTTGATCAACTCTGGAATTATAGGTCTTCATTTTTTTGTCGTTGGCCTCAATTTTCTTCTCTCCTGATTCCACCCGCTTTGTCAGTTCCTCAAGCATTTTTATTATTTCGGAGTTGGTCCCAGGCGCAGCTTCACTCAGCCTTTCTATGACTTGCTCATTTCTTCAGGTATTTTCCCGGGATGATTCATGGTCTATTCTGCCTGGGCGTGACTTTGATTTTGTAGTTGTGCTATCGCTGCCTGTTGGGCATGCAACATTTCTAAGATCACAGATTGATCACGTCGCCTTCACCTTCGGGCGCACCTCGAGTTGTTGATCAGGATCCTCCGTGAACGATATTCTCAGGGTCAGTCGACAGGTTGGCATCGACGACCACATGCGAGTTTGCATCAAATGGGTCTGCAACTGGGACTCCGTTGGGATCAGCAGAAGGCACCTTGTTTCTAGGTGTTATATTGTTGTTTTGGTAATGATGGCAGACTCAACATCAACATTGAAGTGAGCAGACTAAAAGTTTGACATTCTTAGGTAGATAAGAAATTAAAATCTCAAAGAACAAGCGTAAAATATAGTATGTTATGGAAATTTGTACCAAACTACCACTATTATCCTTAGCCCCACGGTGGGCGCCAAGCTGTTTACCTTTAAAAATGGATAACAATTGAATTTAAACGCGATTTTAAGGATATGTTGATTAATTCAGTACAAATGATTTATGAAGTTAGATAAGAAAAAATAAAAAAAATAGAATAAAAAGCTAAACCAGTAGTGATATTGTATCCGGGCTTGGGTAAAAGCTTAACAAGCAGCCTGCCTTCGGCTCAGAGCTAATACTAATGAAGAATTTATGGAAAAAAATAAGAACTTTAAATAATTTTTAGAAACAAAGAAAATAGATGTATATTGCCTTGGAGTACGTGTTACAAAAAATGTCAATTGAATAATCAAATTCCCTTTTATATAGTAGGTGAGTTTTACCCTAAGTACAATTTTAAGAGAGGTAAAGATCTTCCTTTTTGCTAATTACTAATCAACTGCTGATACGGGCTGAGGTTCACGCCATGATATCTGGTCGGGTACATATGCCACGGCCCTTTGTTAATCGTGTATGGGTATTTGGCAATTCTTTCCAAGATCTTGTTATTCAAATCGGTTCGGGGGGCATGGTCTCGATGGCTTCGGGGAAAGGTGTTTTATTCAGTCCTTGATATGAGAGGTTTCCAGCTTTGATTTTAATTCTTTATAGTTATGTCCTCGCTTTGTTTGCCCCTCCGAGAAATCGGAGTTCTCATAAGCCTCGATTTTACCCCTATACACTTTTATTTCTTATTTTTCAGATAAATTATTCTTTGCTCTATTACTTTCATTTTAAATATGTGAGGAGCATTTGTTAAAAATAAGTTTGTGTTATACTAGCATTTTTTTTCTTTTCTTTTTTAAAATTTTTTAGTGCAAATATTTATATTCTAAACTCATATATATTTTTTTGTTGATTAAAAAATAGAACAAAATCATAAGTTTCATTATGTTCATATGAGCGGAAATATACCTAGTATTACTTTTTTTAGTATTAATTGTTAATTTATAATTATCTCACACATACACATTTATATATAACTCTCTATATCTTATATGCACATATATTTGTCACATATTGTCCCAGTTGAGATGGGCCTACATCAGGGATCACCCTTAGCCCGTTTTTTTCTTTAGCAATAGATTTATTGACGCGACACATTCAAGGGGAGGTGCCTTGGTGCATGTTATTTGCAGATGACATAGTCCTGATTAATGAGACGCGTGTTGGTGTTAGCGAGAGGCTGGAGGTCTGGAGGCATACCTTGGAGTCTAAGGGCTTCAAGTTGAGCAGGACCAAGACAAAATACTTAGAGTGTAAGTTTAGCGGTGCTACCTAGGAAGCGGACGGGGATGTGAGGCTTGATTCTCAAGTCATCCCCAAGAAAGAGAGTTTTAAGCATTTGGGGTCTATAATTCAGAATGATGTGGAGCTTGATGAAAATGTCACGCAGGATGAATGAAGTGGAGGCTCTCTTTTGGTGTCTAGTGCGATAAGAATGTGTCATTGAGACATAAGGGTAAGTTATACAAGGTAGTGGTTAGACCGACTATGTTGTAAGTGACAGAGTGCTGGCCAGTCAAGAACTCCCACGTCTAGCAGATGAAAGTAGCTGAAATGAGGACGTTGAGATGGATGCTTGGGCATACTAGGTTAAATAGAATTAGTAATGAAGTTATTCAGGACAAGGTGGGAGTGACCCCTGTTGAGGAAAAGATGCGAGAGGCGAGATTGAGATGGTTCAGGCATATTAAGAGAAGAAGCACAGATTCCCCAGTCAGGAGGTGTGAGAGGTTGGCCTTGGGGTGTAAGAGGAAGGGTAGTGGTAAGCCAAAGAAATCTTGAGGAGAGGTGATTAGGCGGGACATGGTGCAGCTTGAGCTAACCGAGGACATGACCCTGGATATGAGAGTGTGGAGGTTGAGGATTAGGGTAGAAGGTTACTAGGTAGTCGTGCATTTCCCTTTGTCTTCAGTAGTTCGTTAGTGTTAGTATGGTACCCTTTTATCCTGAGTTTGCTATTTTCGCAAATCTTGTTTTGTTATTACTTGTCACTAGTACTTCCTTAGTTTGTTATCAGTGTTCCTTTCATATTCTCTATTGTTATCAGACCTTGGATTTAGTTTCTCTAAATTTATTGTCTTGCTATTACGTGCTATAAGTACTTCTTTCATATTTTTATTGCTATCTTCAATTTATTTTCCTAATATATTGTCTTGCTATGAATTTCTATCAGCACTTCTTCCATCTTCTTTAGCAGATGGTCTATCGGAAATAGTCTATCTGCCCTTCCAGGGTAGGGATAAAGCTGCATACATCCTACCCTCCCCAAACCGCAGTTGTGATATTTCACTGAGCTATTGTTGTTGTATATTTGTCACATATTAAAGTTTATTTAATTATTCATTTATAAAAGTTTATTTAATTTAATAAAAGAATGCCTGTTATGTGATCATACACTTATGATAAGATATAATGATTATATATGCACACATATATAATCCTGTTATGTGATTATACACTTATAAACAAAAAACATTATACTTGAAATCAACTTATAATTATATTATGGCAAAACAAATAAATTTATATAATTATTATTAATAGTTTGTACGGTTAAACTTATAAAATCAGCTTAGAATAGTGGTTTAACCAAAACTGCCATAAACAACATAATCTTCAAGAAAAAGATCAAGGGTATACACGATATTTCCTCTCGAAAAGTACCCGTCACGTGACACCCTCGATCAACTCTATCCGAAGTTGCCAAACGGCGAAATGTTAAAAGATGAAAGAAAAACCAACTCCGTCCTTGTCACGTCGATCTTATCCCATTGTGCTAATAGATCCATCGTCCATCTCATCTCAGATCTAGATCAACGATACAGAATCAATCTCATCCCACAAAGGTTGTTCGATATTTCACGCTAAATCCCTCAATAAATAAGAGACCTTTCCGTAGCGTCCTTACACCTCACTCACTCAGTCTAAGCATACGGTTTTCCCATACTTTAACCTGCACCGATTCGCTAACCTACGCCATGAGCATACTTGACAAGCTTTGGGACGACACCGTCGCCGGTCCCCGTCCCGATAGTGGCCTTGGCAAACTCCGAAAATCTTCCACCTTTAACTTGGGCTCAAGTTCCGGCAAGGGTACGCCTTTGTTGCTATCTTCCGCCGGTTCCTCCATTAATAATACATAACTAATTAACAACTGCTATATATAAAACGTATTTGAAAAACTAGTTTAATTAGATTGTCCCGCATTATTACGTATTTCTCAATGTTTACGATCTACTAATAATTAAGTATCTGTTATATGTGGTCATATTTACATCAGCGGTTTATGCTGATGATTAACTTTTGGTTAATCTATAGTTTATCTTTTTGTTGATAAAGTCCTTCGATCGTATGAGGAATTTTTCTCCTTAAGACAACATTTAATCGGACGTTGTCAGTATATATTGTCTCAATTTGAAGATTGAAACAGTAACTTTAGATCACTTAATTAGATGATATTAAAAAACTTACTTTTTTTTTTGGATCAAGATATTATACTGGAATCTAATGAGTTTTGAGATGCAGAAACAGAAGGAAGTCAAGAGGTGGCTAGGGTGACAAAACGTATAATGATAGTAAAGCCTCCAGGATATGTGAGTAAAGACTCTCCTCCAGTTTCGCCTGCCAGTGCCGGTTCCACTCCTCCGGTATCTCCCTTTGCTGGTATGCCTTAATTTCAGCTTGTTGTTTAATTTCAGTGTTTGTTTATAGCCGGGCGAAGATGTTTCAATGTAGTAGTTCAGTAGTAATGTTAACTCATTTATCTTGGCACGGAGTTAAAAAAAAATGAAGATTTTTTTTAATTTATGGTGCTAAAAAAGTCAAGAAATGATCAAAATTATTTGTATAGTTATAAAAGCTTCTTAGCTAAATTATTTTTAAATTTAGAGAGATGTAATCCTTCCATTCCAGTTTATGTGAACATATTTTATTTTTGGTCTTCAAAAAGAATGATGTATTTTTAAATTTGGAAATAATTTAGTTTAAATTTATAATTCTGCATTTAATTAGAAATTTGTATAACCATACAAATATTATGGATCACTTTTTGACTTGTTTAGGACCATAAATTTCAAAAGTTTTTTATTTTTTTCTTAATCTCCGTATCCACATGTTCATATAAATTAGAACGGAGAGAGTAATTCTTTTTAGAACGGATCAAAAAAATAAATAAGTTTACAGGTTAACCGAGAATATCCTCCAATAAACGCGGGCTATCACAGATCTAGATGAATAATGGGCGTACTATTGTTTGGGGGTTAGTTTTGTAAATTTAGCTTTGGGAGGGAGAATATGTGAAGTTGGTAGGAGGCCAATTATGTTATTTAGCAAATAATGAGTAAAATTTTCTAACGGATAATGTAATGTATAGGTGGATACAATTAAGAAGGTGATATTTTTGTCTAGATCCACTAGCTAGAGTTTAAAAACATTTGGCCACGAGTACGGTACACGTAACCATAATGGTTCAACCCTTCATGTACTATTAGTTTGAACTAGCACCTGTAGTTTGAACATAACGGCGTAAAATGTCCTTACTGAAACGCAAATTAGTTGGACGAAATTATTAATTAATGTCTGTTGGGTGTAATGTACAGTAATTTGTTGCATGTAAAAGTATAGGATGAGACTGAATATATATTTGATGTTTTATAAATATGTATTGCAGGTGCGGGAGGAAAGGAGGCATTTCGATTCCGCAGGCGATCAGGGTCATTTGCATACGAGAATGCTAGTGGGATTGGACCCAGAAGCCCTCCTCCTCCTTACGACCTGTGAGTTATGAATCGAGGCTCAACATGCATGTTTCAGCTGCTTGACTCTATATATGTTACGTGTCCGACTTGTCGTGGCTCTGTTTTTGTAAATATTGTTAGTTTTTTTATGTAGCGGAGGTGTGGTGGCTGGGTTGAGTATTAGTTTTAAGTTACACTATTGTAGTTCCTCTGTTCTCAACGATTCCCTTTTGTAACCGGTTCCTAGCTCCATTTGAGTTCAAATTTGGCTAATCATAACCCAACTATCTTTCCCCTTTCTCATTGGCAATATATATAATTTCTTTCCCTTTTCTCTATTAACTTTTAAAAACAAATTAAAAGGAGAAAAAAGAGTAAGTAGTGTTTCGCTTCGACGTCATTTTGTTTACCATTTTTTAGTTGTGAGCGGAAAAGAGTTGAAAAGAAAATCAAGGTTTCTGCTTGAATATTGTTTATCCTTAAAAGCAGATAACAATTAAACTTATAAGTGGTTTTAAAAGTACGTAAATTTACCTAGTACCAGTTGATAAATATGATGATTAATAATAGAAATAAACAATAAAGTAAAGCAAACCAGTATAGAAATACGATTCAGCTCTCGAGCTAGGTCGCCCTCGAATTGAGTGAGTGAGAGTAGGGTTATGAAATAAACTGATGGACAAGAGAGTATAAGAGAAAAAGAGTATTGTATTGCTTTGACATGCGTCAATATAAGATGATTACAAATGGTTAAGACCCTTTTTATATAGTAGAAGAATTCTATTTACGGTATGGATCTAATTACAGAAGGAAATCTCATGATTAGCTAAATAACCGCCCTTGATTTGATCTGTTCCGAGATTTCTGCCATGATCTTCGACCAGTCATGGATATCTCGCCTTTCCTTTGTCATGCTATCATCGGTCTTGCTCGATGTCTATCCCGTTCGACCTCGATCATTACTGGTCTCGATCTCGGCAAGTACCTCGAATCCCAAACTCGGTACTTTATCCTCATGTCTCGGTTTGATATACTATGGGGCTAATCCTCGATCCATCCCCCAGGTCTCGGTTAATTAGTAAAATCGATTGGGTCCGGTTTTAACTGTATACAGATAGTGCCCTCGTTTTTTGGAATGTAATGACAAGAAACGAATTGAATTTTCGAACTGGACCTTGGTTCACCATTACGTAAGTATTGTGATGTAAGCGGCAGAGGTGACCGAAACGTCCCATCAGTTCAATTTCAGGCATTTAAGGCGCGTCAGTTGCCGGTCGGCCACTAGCAACTTTGAACCGTCGCCGTGAAACCCATAAATAGGCCTCTTTTCCACTCTTTCAAACTTTATTTTAATCTCTTCTGCTATAATCTTCAAAGCTCTTTGCATTCTTCAAGTTCTTCTGCGAACCTTCAAGTTTCACCGCTAGCCTCTTCTTAAAACGCCAGATATCCTAACCCCCTTTCTTCTTCGTTCTCAAAAATGGCTAAGACCTCTAAAATTGTCCTTACAAAGAAGCCGCCTCTTCATCAAAGTTAGCCGGCACCATCGCCGCGGCGGAACAGTCCCTTATGGACTTCATTCTGTCCAAAACACGAAATATCCCAATCTCTGCTCTCCTTTGTTCACAATAACAAAATGGCCAAAATATCTAAAATCGTTCCGCAGAAAGAAAAAGCTTCCTCGTCTTAGCCGGCCGGCGAGCAGTCAGCGGCAGAGCCACGCCCTGATTTTTTTTTCCTCCGCCATGCTTTCTTGACTCAGACTTTAAGGTTAAAAAGACCCCTCGGTTCCGGGCCGATGCGAGCCTATGTCGAGGTACATATGCACAATCACCAGTGGCCTTCTAAACCAAGTTAAAAAGGATTAGTTACAACACATGTTGGGTGACATTGAAAATACTGTTTTAATTTCTAATGTCACCCAATATGTGTTGTAACTAGCTATCCCCTTCATAATATTTTGCATAAACTCGAAAGTCGGGTTTATGCAAAATATTACGAAGGGTATAGGTAGTTACAACACATATTGGGTGACATTGGAAATATGGTTTAAATTTTCTAGAGGCACTTATTAAAGCACGCGGTAATCTCTCTAAGTGTGGGTATCGGGTATCGGCCTCACCTAAGGTCCGTCTAACATAGTAAACAGGAAATTGCATACCTTTCTCTTCTCGAAACAGGACCCTATTTATCGCTATTTTCAAGATCGCCAAGTATAAGTAGAGTTGCCTGTACGCATTCGGGGTGAAGCAGTGGAGGACTTGACATGTATCGTTTTAGTTATTCTAAGGCTTGTTGGCATTCCGGTGTCCATGTGAAATTTCTCTTTTTCTTAAGCAGTGAGAAGAACCAGTGACTTCTATTTGAGGACCTCGATTAAAATCGGATAACAATTAAACTTATAAGTGGTTTTAAGGATACGTAAATTTACCTAGTACCAATTGATAAATATGATGATTAATAATAGAAATAAACAACAAAGTAAAGCAAACCAGTATAGAAATGCGATTCAGCTCTCGAGCTAGGTCGCCCTCGAATTGAGTGAGAGTAGGGTTATGAAATAAACTGATGGACAAGAGAGTGTAAGAGAAAAAGAGTATTGTATTGCTTTGACATGCGTCAATATAAGATGATTACAAATGGTTAAGACCCTTTTTATATAGTAGAAGAATTCTATTTACGGTATGGATCTAATTACAGAAGGAAATCTCATGATTAGCTAAACAACCGCCCTTGATTTGATCTGTTCCGAGATTTCTGCCATGATCTTCGACCAGTCATGGATATCTCGCCTTTTCTTTGTCATGCTATCTTCGGTCTTGCTCGATGTCTATCCCGTTCGACCTCGATCATTACCGATCTCGATCTCAACAAGTACCTCAAATCCCGAACTCGTTACTTTATCCTCATGTATCGGTCTGATATGTTATGGGGCTGATCCTCGATCCATCCCTTGGTCTCGGTTAATCAGTGAAATCGGGTGGGCCTAATTTTAACCGTATACAGATAGTCCCCTCATTTTTTGGAATGTAATGATAAGAAACGAATTGTATTTTCGAACTGGACCTTGGTTCACCATTACGTAAGCATTGTGACGTAGGCAGCAGAGGTGACCATAACGGTCATATCGGATCAATTTCCTAGGCAATTAAGGTGCGTCAGTTGTCGGTCGACCACTAGCAACTTTGAACTATCGCTGTGAAACCCATAAATAGGCCTCTTTTCGACTCTTTCAAACTTTACTTTAATCTCTTCTGCTATAATCTTCAAAGCTCTTTGCATTCTTCAAGTTCTACTGCAAATCTTCAAGTTTCACTGCTAGCCTCTTCTGAAAACACCAGATATCCTAACCCTTGTTCTTCCTCGTTCTAAAAAATGGATAAGACCTCTAAAACTATCCCTCACAAAAAAACCGCCTCTTCATCAAAATTCGCCGCCGGCGCCGCCACTGCGGTGGAACAGCCCCTTGCGGACTTCGTTTCGATGAAGTGTGCCACTACTACTGATTTCAAGGTGGAGAACACATCCTCGACACAAGACCGATGTGAAGCCGTGTCGAGGTACATGTGTACGATCACCGAACGTCTCCTCGAGAAGGTGAAAAAGGAGTGCAACTGGGTAGACAATGATGTAGTAGTGCCCAGTCCAGAAGAATCCATCACAACTTACAAAGAGGGGTATCTGAGTGTCTATACCTCCCCTTCACGACAAGCCCCCTAGATTCCATCATCGTTGCCTTTGGCAAGAGATGCAATGTCACTTTGGGCCAAATCCACCCGTCGTTTTGGAGGATCGTGATCCTCCTCCGATTCTTAAAGCAAGATCGAGGGGCATCCTTTTACCCTCAATTACTTCATCCGTCTCTACGACCCCCGGCGTTATCGTTGAGGCATGATCAAGCTTTATCGCCTAGCCGCTAAACCACCGTTCTCGAGCATAGATGAGACTTGAGGCCGAGGTTGGATGGGCAGGTTTGTCCGAATAAAGACTTCGGATTTAATCTCTGCCGCAGATATGTCGCACCCTGAAAAGTGGAATATGAAACGTAAGTATTGCTTAGCCTTATGAATATCTATTTTTTCCATTATGCTTTCTTGTCTTCCCTTCATCTAATTATTTTTGTGTTGCAGCTATGGCCGTTGTGCCAGAAGTGATCCCCGACCTGAGGCAATGGGTCGAGGGATTGGTGTCACAAAAAAATTATTCTGAGTGTGCTTGGATGGAGTTGTCAAAGCGCCGATGGGAGGCCCGTAACCATGGTAAATTCCTTTCCTTCGAAAGGTTTTTAGTCGGGCTTTGTTATTGTACTTACTCGTCGTTTTCATTTTGTAGGCCTTAAGAAGGACGTGCCAATGAGGCCCCCCTCTGCTGAATAAGAGGCACTCCTTTCCCCGTGTGCCCCGAAGCAGGGCAAAGAGAAGAAAAGAATGGAGGCTCTGAGTTCCCCAAGCCCAGAAAAGAAAAGGACGGTCGGGAAGCCCCGTAATCATAAGGGGGATGTTATCCATGTAACTCTGGAATCGGCCCAATAGATAATGGGCGAGACCGAAGACAAAGACGAAGAAGAAGAAAGCTCTGGGTTGGTGGCTCGTGTGCGAGCTGGCACCGAGGTTTAAAGTATCGTTGGACAGGCAAAAACCGAAGCTGCTTTGCCCCGGCCTAACAAGCCCGAGCTAGAAAGAGTTGAAGATGCCTCACCTCGAGGTGGGGGGGCCACCGAGGAGGCGGTCAAGGCTGGTGTAGAAACCAAGCTCGAGGCTCCCGGGAATGAAGATGATGCGTCTAAATACCCACTTGGGGCAATAGTGATCGGGGACTACTCCTCATTCCCTCCAGTTTCGGATTCGATGATACGCGACACTCAGGCTGCAGATACTTCTCACGGAGAGGGGGCCTACGAAGATGAAGATTTTTTTCGCGGCTATTTTGCTCATGTGGAAGATATCACTGGTTTGGGTGATTTGGACGTACTAAGGAAGAGCTCAAATGAGGCTTCCTCGAGCTATACACTGACCAACCAATTTCCGCCCCCCAGTGTTTACCCCGATAGTAAGAAGCCTCTTATTATCTCGATCCCAGAAGATACTTAAGTTTTCTCTGCCCTCATAGGGGTGGCGAGCTATCTCCAATACAGTGTTTGTTCAATGAGGCCCAGCATGCTCTAAATCGGTAAGTTCAAAGGCCACTATATCTTTTTATGATTTTGAATTGTAGATATCTCTAACACTTTTTTCCTTTCTTGTAGGCTTCAGTACTGCATCATGAGGCCTTTCTCCCAATCCGAGAGGAATGCAAGGTCGAACTCTAGTGTCTCATTGAGAAATGCAATACCTAAAATCTTCTCACTGAGAAGCTTCGGGTAGACATAGTGGAGGATCGAAATGCGCATGAAGAGATGGTCGAGCAGGTATTCCAAGTTCTTCATGATAGTGAGGATGAGTCGGAGATAACAACTAACAATCCCATTCTGCAGGTTCGACAGAGGCTCGAACAGATCAAGGGCCTCCAAGGGAAAATAGATAAAGTGCGAGCCGAAGCCAAACATTTCAAAGGATGTATGGATATTTTGGTTGCACAAAAGGAAACCATTCAAGCTGAGCTGAATTCGGCCAAGTCACAGCTTTGATATGCAAGAGAGAATTCCTTGGTTGAAGCGAAGAAGGTTGAGGAAATCGAGTCCAATTTAGCCAGTTTAACTAAAGAGCTTGAGGTTGCCAGATCTGAAGCGGCCAAGACAAATACTAAGGCCAGGCTACTGCGGCTTAATGCAAAGTCGATGCCGAAGCCACCCCCGAGCAATCCAAGGGTATGGTGGATAATTCGAAGTGGCAGTCCCGAATGGAGGCTCTCGGGGGGTAATTGCCCAAAGTTTTGACATAGCTGGCGAACTCGAGATCGCCAAGGCTTGGAAGCAAAGGCTTGGAAGCTAGCATTTCCCGACGAGGATTCCAAGAATGTGGGCGGATCTGGTGGAGAAGACCTCGAGGGTGAAGAAGCTTCCTCTGATAATGATCGTGCTGATTAGGCCTAGTAATTTTTGTTTTTTATTTAAGGCTGATCGGTCTTTGTAAATAATGTTTGATTGGTCCATGTGGCCCTTGTAAGAAAAATTTTAATATATAAAAACTTTTTCCTTTCCATGGTTCTTGAATTCATTGTCCTTATTTATTTTATGTAAGTATCAGAGTACCTTAGTAAAAAGTTATATGGTGTTATTCAATGGTCCTAGGTCGAACATTCGAACTTGTCCCGTGGCAGTTTTCGATAAATCAGAGCCAAGTGAGATCATTAATCTGGTTCGGAATAAGGTAACCTTTGAGTTTGATGTTCGAGTGAGAATGTTATCTCGAACTCGAAATCAGGTGGCCCTTAGGCTCGAAGAACAGTACCCGAGTGAGAATTTATTCAAACTCGAGTTGCAGTAGCCCTCAAGCTTAGTAGCGAGTAAGAGTGATGTTTCAAACTTGAAGTAAGAATAGCCCTTAAGCTTTTGTATTTGGCCGATCTGACCTTTGTAGAACGATCGTTTTAATATATATANAAGGTTATAATGCCTTAGCATGAAATAAGGGATTGTTTGAGATTTCGAACAATTTTGTACTCATTAGAGTTTTTAAGACTTGATATTATCGAAGCCCTTTATAATTTTGCTGAGGGTGGCCCTTTTAACCGGTTTATGAGAATATTTGAAGCCATGTTCTATTATGGAATTCAGACGTCTCTAAACCGCATTGATTTGCCCATAGCCTTTTTATTTGGGACTTGCCTCTTAGGATTATTTTCCCGTTTCACTTCGAGCTTGCCCAAGTGTCAGTCCCTGAATGGGGTGGCCATAGCCTATAAAAAACCGAGGGTCGCCTTTAAGGTCTTATGATCTCGAAGTTTTAATAATTTGATCTTGTTTGTTTCTCGGACGTCAGTACCCGAGCATGGGGTTCCGTTATGATCTGCCCTTAAGCCTGCTTACACAATAAATCAAGAGTATGAAATTGTTAAGTAGAAAATTCTTTCTAAGGCATGAGATATCGGTAAGGGAAAATAATTTTTTCAATAGATGATTATATATACGTACATGTTTGATGCTAGGGCTCGAGTAACCTATATGGGCACGGTTCATTCGACCGGTTGGCCCTTACAAAATTTACCTATCAAGACCCCGTTGTTAAGAAGTAATTTTCTTGCAACAAAGTGAACATTCGAGGGTAATGCCCCTAGTATTCGAGGTTGATTGTAAAGAAGCCTCGGAAAGTGTTGAATTGTTCTAAGTTAGCACGATCAATGATTGCCTCGTTAAAAACCTCGCCAGAAAAACCGATTGCTTGGAAGTATCTCTTTAGAAGTAACACGTTCCAATTGTTTGGTAATTGCTCGTCGTTCATCGTGCTAAGCTTGTAGGACCCCTTTACGATGATGTCGAGGACCACATATGGCCTCTCCCAATTTGGACCCAGTTTTCCTTCATTTGGTTTCGAGTGTTGAGAGTGACTTTTCTTAGCACCAAGTCTTCTATTTTGAAGTATCGAAGATTGGTTCTTCGGTTGTAGTATTTTTCAATCTGATGTTTTTGTGCGGCCAATCGAACGAGGGCGGCCTCGTGTCTTTCATCCAACAATTCTAGGAATGTGCTTATAGCCTCGTTATTGATTTTTCTATTGCATATCAAAACCTGAGGCTAGGTTCCCCGACCTCGAACGGGATAAGAGCTTCGACACCATATACCAAAGAGAACATTGTTGCCCCTGTACTGGATTTCGATGTCGTGCAGTACGCCCAAAGAACCTCGAGCAATATCTCTCTCCATTTTCCCTTAGCATCGCTCATCTTTTCTTAAGATTTTGAATGATGGTTTTGTTGGTTGATTCGACTTGTCTATTCCCGCTGGGATGGTATGGCATTGATAGAATCCTTTTAATATGTGATCCTCGAGATATTTAGTCACCTTGCCGCCGATGAATTACTTTCCATTGTCACACACGATCTCGAAGGTCATCCCGAATCGGCATATAATATGGTCCCAAATGAAGTCTATAACTTCTTTTTCTCTGACTTTCTCGAAAGCATGTGCTTCAAGCCACTTAGAAAAATAATCAGTCATAAATAAAATAAGCTGAGCTTTACCTGGGGCCGAAGGTAGAGGGCTGACGATGTCCATTCCCCATTTCATGAATGACCATGGGGATAAGACCGAATGGAATTGCTCCCCGAGCTGGTGAATCATCGGCGCACACCTTTGACATCTAAGCTTAATCAATGTGTAGTGATCTCTAGTGGGATCCCCGTCATATCGAGATGGAACCAAGCAAAATAATCTATGTTATCTAAAATGAATTGAATAATTTTTTTCCTGAGCTTCAGAGTTAACCTTGTGCCCAGGTATACCTTTCGATCGGGATGCTCGATCAGAATGATTTATTCCAGCTCTTCGACCGTCGACTTTATTGCGTTAGAATCATCGGGGATTATGAAGGTTCGAGGTATCATATAATCATCATCCTCGAAAGTTTCATGATCCACCGATCGGGCCGAGACTGGTGACTATGGGTTGATATTTGACTTTTTGCTTTCCCTTCGAATTCGATCCCTTTGTTGACAAAAGTGTTGACACTGGTATCAACTTGGTGAAGGGTCGAGGGTACTACCCTCATGTTATGGATCCAAGGCCTCCCGAGCAGGAAGTTGTACCTCATGTCACCCTCGGTTACATGGAACTTCGTTTCCTATATGGTTCCGACCACGTTTACCGTCAAGATAGTTTCCTCTTTGGTGGTTTCACTTGCTATGTTGAAGCCGTCAAGCACTCGAGCTGCGGGCACAATTTGATTTTGAATGCCGAGTTGCTCTACGACCCTTGATCGAACAATGTTGGCCGAGCTACCTAGATCAATCAACACATGTTTAACTTGAATTTTATTCATAAGTATAGATATTACCAGTGCGTTGTTGTGAGGTTGTTTGATCCCTTTTGCATCCTCGTCGTTGAAAGATAAGGTCTCTTCCGGTAAGTAGTCCGAGTCCGTTTGGCTCTTGTGATTGTCACCTTGGTGCGTTTGAATACCGGTCCTTGAGGAATATCGACCCTCCAACGGTCATGTGAATCACGTGCTGTGGCTCTTCTTGCTCATTCTGTCTGTTTGAATCTCCATTTTTGAAGTGATTTTTGGCTCGATCACTTAAGAATTCTCGAAGGTGCCCCTCGTTGAACAACCAGGCTACTTCCTCGCTTAGTTGTCTGTAATTTTCTATTTTATGGCCATGGGTGCCATGATACTTGCATATTTGGTTTGGGTTTCTCTGGGCCGGATCGGTCTGCAAAGGTCGAGGCCACCTAGTATCTTTAATACTCCCAATGGCCGATACTATGGCGGAAACATCTATGCTGAAGTTATATTCTGACAGTCGAGGTGCTTCTTTGGACCCGACATCCATGTCGAAACTACTCTTTCTTATGAAACCTTGGGAGCTTTGTCCCTGATCATTCCTTCTATCATTCCGAATGGGGTTGTGTCCAGACCCACTATTTCTGCGATCTCTCTCGTATGGCTGATATCGGTCTTTGCTCGAATGTGGTTCCCTATCGACATCCCTTTTAACTCTGTCCACGGGCCTGTTGGAATAAATTGAACCAGTTGGAGCCCCCAATTGATCGTCTTATACCCTAATCTTCGATTGATATCAATTATGCACGTCGGACCAAGTGACGGCTGGATATTCGATCAAACTCTGCTTTAATTGTTGCGAAGCTATGGAACTTCTTTCGCTGAGGCCTTGAGTGAAGGCTTGAATAACCCAATCGTCAGTGAGCGGTGGAAAATACATCCGTTCCATTTGAAATTGAGATACGAATTCCCTGAACATCTCGTTGTCCTATTTCATTACTTTGAATAGGTCTGACTTTCTAATTGTAACCTTAATGGCTCCAGCGTGCACCTTCACAAAAGAATTTGCAAGCATAGCAAATGAATCAATAGTATTAGGCGGTAAATTATAGTACCATATCATGGCACCCTTTGATAGAGTTTCTCCAAATTTCTTCAGCAATACGGATTCAATCTCATCATCTTCTAAGTCATTTCCCTCAATGGCGCACGCATTTGAGGTGACGTGTTCATTTGGATTTGTCATCCCGTTATACTTCGGAATCTCGGGCATACGGAACATCTTCGGGATTGGCTTTGGAGCCACACTCGGGGGAAAGCTTTTTGGAAAAATTTTTTGGAATCAAGTCCTTTCAATACCAGTGGTGCCCCCGGGATCTGGTTGACCCTAGAGTTATAAGTATCCACCTTCTTATCATTTTCCTCGATCTTCTTTTCTCCTGTCTCGATTCGCTTTGTCAGTTCCTCGAGCATTTTTACGATAGCGGGATTAGTCTCTGATTCTCCTTCATTTGATCTCTTTGGCACCGATTTGGCTCTATGAACAACTTCTTGTGATGGCTCGAGCTCGATCCTGCTTGGTGCACAATTCTAATTTTGGAGTTGTGTTATTGTAGCTTGCTGAGTCTGCAACATCTCGAATATCATTCAAAGACCAATTCTGCCTTCTTCACCGCTCTGTGCGTTCTAATTGGATGTTCGAGCATCTCCACGGATGCTATTCTCAGGATCGACGCCCAAATTCCCATTAATGGCAATATGGGATCTGACGTCGATTGGGTCCACGGTCGGAGCTCCATCGGAGTTTACTGGAGGTACTTCGTTTCCTAGAGCGACTATGTTTTCGTTCTCGCCAAGAAGGCCAAGGCCGTTGTCTGTGTGTGTGGGTGCTACTTGGGAGTTTGATATGTTGATCCTGAAATCAAAGACACTTCAAAGAACAAGCGTAAAATAATGTGTGTTACGAAAATTGTACCAGGCAATCACTATTATCCTTAGCAACACAGTGAGCGCCAAACTGTTTACCCTTAAAATTGGATAACTATTAAACTTATAAGTGATTTTAAGGATACGTAATTTCACATAGCACCAGTTGATAAATATGATGATTAATAATAAAAATAAATAACAAAGTAAAGCAAACCAGTATTGAAATGCAATTCAACCCTCGAGCTAGGTCGCTCTCGAACTGAGTGTGTGAGAGTAGGGTTATGAAATAAACTGATGAACAAGAGAGTAAGAGAAAAAGAGTATTGTATTGC